TTTTTGAGAGGAGGGCTGGGTGTCGATGTCTGCTGAGGTCCCCATGGGGCTGCAGGGGAGCTGGGCTGGCACCACCTGGAGCTAGAAGTGGGCCCTCTCCCCATTAGCTCTGCCCTCTAAGCCCAGCCCTCCACCCTCAGGCGTCAGTTGCCAATGACCTTGGATTCTGGTCCTTGGTGAACAGACCCCTTGGTTGGTCTCTGCATGGGCTGGGGTGGAGGTGTGGCCAGCTCTACCTTCTAGCAACTTCTCTCACAGTAACAGTAAAGATTAGGCCATTGGCGACCCTTGCCCCAGACCCTGGGGGTGATCTCCTTCAAGGCCTGTTCCTCTCCCGGCCCTCAGTGGTCTGCGCCCTCAGAGGTGAGCTACAGGGGACAGAGGTGAGCTGAGCAGGTGCCTCTGGGTCTGCCCCATTTCAAAGATGCAAGCCTGAAACCTAGAGAGGCAAAGTAGCTTTCCATAGTCACCGAGAGGCAGTGGGCATATGGGCTTGGAGCCCAGGGTTCTGAGTCCCACGCCAGGGCTTGTCGCCTTCCCCCTAGAACTCTTGAACTGGAGTCAGCTGCCTGCTGGCTGGCAACTTGAAAAGCCTGGTTCATGGCGCCTCAGACTCGTCCAGACCTGGACTTTTCTTCCCGGAGCCTTAGTGTCCCCATCTAACAGAAATAGCGGTAGTGCCTGTGCCCCAGGGTGGTTGGAGAATAGCTGGGTCTGGCTTTGGGGTAATGTGGAGTGAGTGGAATGATGCTCACCTATGAGCCAGAGGAGATGAGCTAGGCCCGGAGCAGGGGGAGCATTTTTGGTGTGGCCAAAGCTTTATGCTTAATGGAAAGATAGTTGCTTCCATGACCCTGGCCTGGCTGAAGCAGGCAGGGCCCAGAGTGCTAGAAGTGGTCTCTGAGGGCCGATGGAACTTGGGACTGCCACGACTCCTCCAGACAGTCCTCTAGGACTGTTCCACCACAGTCCGCACCGGCGAGCCCCACATTGGGACGGTATTGCCGGAGGGGGAGTGGTGCCCAGCAAACGCTCCCCAGGCAGAACCCTATTCCGAGGACTCTCCCTTCACACAGCATCAGTGAACCAGACTGGGCTCTTCCTCAGCAGAGCTGGGCTCCTCCTCCATCAGAGGTGAGAATTTTTACTCATAGTCTGGGTTGGGCCAAAACTTTATTCTGGAAAGGGCCTCTAGGCCCGCAGCCTCCTCCCAAAGAGCACTTCACTGATCCCTACCCTACCCCCACCAGTCCCACCTCTGAGCAACATCACTATGAGCTTGTGTGTGTGTGTGTGTGTGTATGTTGACCTTTCCACTTGGCCAACATTCCTTTGTTTTTCTCAGCTTTTTGCGTTGATGGCCATGGCAGGAGGAGCTATTAGGAGAGCAGGTTCTCAGGAAACCTTTTCTCCAAAGCCCCAGGGACATGGAGCCCAAGGAGACACTAGAAGATGAAGGTCTATTGAAAAGAAGGTGGGTTCCCGGGGCAGTTAGAGGACTGTGGGTAAGAGACAAGGACCTCCTCACAGAGAGCACTCTGGCCCCGATGCGAGTGCCTGTGGAGGCTGCCCCTGGGCATCATTGTTGTCAGCCTGGCCAGCAAAGCTGGGTGACCCTGCTCAGGTTGCTTTATCTCTCTTTATGTCTTAAAGAAGCCAAAGTCCTGGGTTGGGTTTTTTTAAAGACTATTTATTTATGAGAGAGAGAGCTAGCAAGGATGAGCGGGGAAAGGGGCAGAGGGAGAGGGAGAAGCAGGCTTCCCGCCGAGCAGGAAGCCCGATGCGGGGCTCGATCCCAGGACCCCGGGATCACGACCTGAGCCGAAGGCAGACGCTTAATGACTGAGCCACCAAGCGCCCCCAAAGTCCTGGGTTTGCTGCCAGCGTGCGTGACCTCCCTACCCCAGAAGTGCCCAGGCTGGGTCTCTATAGCCCTTTACCTCTTCACTCAGGGCCAGCGGGTCCCTGATTGGTAGCTGTGGGCTTTGGGGGCAGTCGCACCCCTATCAGGACCTTGACAATCACCCCCTTTCTCCCCTGGGTCTCAGTGGGGGAACCAGGGCATGCTGGGCTCCAGGAGGACCCCTGGGCCTTTCAGAGGGCAGAGAAGGCGTGGTGCGGGCACCCCCACCCCCACCCAGGGTGAGGTGTTTTCACCAGAATCGGAGCAGCTGTGGCTAGAGGCCTCTTCCCAGGAAGAAAGAGCAGAGCGCCTCTTCCAAGAACTCAGAGGAGGCCCACAAGCAGGGGAGGGAGGAGTGGGGGAGTTAATTTTAAACCAAACAGACTTCAACGCTTCTCAGGAACTGGTTGCTCAACGTGATCTGGCAGGTCCCAGGCGGGCAGGCAGGCGTGCTGCCAGCTCAGAGGTGGTGGGGGTGGAGGACTCGCCCCAGAGGAGAGGCCCAGTGACCTTGAGGGAAGTTGGGCCCTGTCCTTGCCCATGAATCCGAGCCTGTCACCCCAGACCTCCACCAGCCTGACCTGACTCGCTGAGGTATGGGGTGGGGTGACTTCCTCTGTCCTAACCAGGCTAGGTGACATTATAACAGGATTAATAATATAGATGTCACATCCTTCCAAGGGCCCCAAGCCTGACCGCCCCAATCCCCTCTCCCTGCTCAGAACCTGCCACGCCTGTCCCCAGTCTGTCCCTCTGGAAGTCATTGATGAAGGCCTGCTCTGAGGCCAGAGTAAGGCCCTTGCATTTTGCCCAGAGGGTGGGACCCTGGGGTGCCGGGCTTGTGGGGGGGGCGGGGGACAGAGGGAGACGGAGGGTGGAATTGCAGCCAAATTTCTGGGCCCAAGGAGCGAGGCTCCAGGGTGTGCGGGGAGGCTCTGAGCTGAACTCACTGGACTTGCCCCCCCCACAGCGAACTGGGGTCAAAGTGCTTTCACACTCACTGACCTCCTGGCCTCCATCCCCTCTGGGCTGGCAGCCTGGCCCCCCTCCCAGTGTCTGGTTCCTACAGAGGCTCCTCCCAGGGTCCCCCCTCCTCCACTACCTCCACCAGCTGCCCAATGAGACTCCAGCAGCCTGGGCGGGGCGAGGCCTGTGTTCTAGGAAAGGATCCTGAGCAAGCACTGCCAGGAGCTGCAGTTCTTGGAATCAGCACTGCAGGGTGAGGGGACACTTCCTGGAACCTGCTGGCCACTCCAGGGAGAGAGGCTCAGAGGACAGGCAGTGACCTCGGGGAGGGGGGGGTACTGAGGCCTCCGCTTGGGTCCTTGCCTCCAGGAAGCCCTACCTGACTGCAGGTGCCTCCTGAGACTCCGCCATCTCAGCATTAAGTCTGCTGGGCCCCAGGAGAGGCCCAGTTCTGGCACGGCCTCTGCGGTGCCCAGCGTCCAGCCCAGGAATAGGTACAGAGTGGACAACCAGAAACAGTAGGGGAAGAGGGGGGGTGCGTGGGGGTGGGGGGTGGGGCAGCGTGCGGTGTGGGCACACAGGTGAAGGTGGGATGTGCAGCCAGGCTGGGAAGGGCTAAGGAGAGTAGGAGGGAGAGCAAGGTGGGGTCAGCGGGGCCAGGCCTGGTTCGCAGAGTTCCCCTTCCTGAGGGACAGACAGCCTCTGGCCAGCACTCCTGTCATTTGTATAGGCCTTTCCCTCAGATCCCTGTCCCACTGTTGGGGAACAGGCCTCAGCTTTTAGCGTCAGGCCACGCAGAGTCGTCCCAGCCCAGTGCCCAGTTGTGCAGCCTTCAGCCCACATCCAGCCTGTTGGAGCCTCAGTTTCCCTGCCTGGGTAATGGAGAGGAGATGCTACAGGGCCCCCAGGAAGGCCCTGGGGACTATGACCCGGCTCTGGGACAGGGTTGGGGCCCAGCTACACTTTGCGGGTGTGGCTCAGTGTTCCCAATACGGGGTCCCAGGATCGGCACCGTCAGAGCAGAAGCCTGGAAGTCTGGCTGAGGGGGGACTGAGGGCAGGTCAGGATCGGCACAGTGGGCAAGTAAGGGCCTCCCTCCCTGGCTGTGTGGCCTTGGGGCAGCCTTCTGACCACTCAAGACATGTTTGCCTCCAGAAGAAAGAAGAACCCTCCCTAGCCAAGGCTGGACAGGGGCAGGGACTTGCCTCTCCCCTCATGCCCTCAAGTCACTCTTTGCCTCTCACCGAGCACAGCCCCAAGCCTGCTACCACCCACCCCCAACGCATCACAGAGAAGGGGGCCCCCAACCCATCCTCCAGGGCCAGTCGTGGAATTGAGAAGTCCTGAGGTTCAGTGCACGGGTGGGGCTGTGAGGCAGGGCTGTGACAGAGAGGTCCTTTGACCCCTGCAGGAGGATGGCGGGGCAGCCTAGGGACCCAGTTCATCACTGTGCTTGCGCTTGGGAGTGCCGGTTCTCAGGCTACCTGACGCAGCTGGCGGTGGGGGGAAGGCTGCTGTGGGGGGAAGGCTGCGTGCTCCACCAGCCGGAGGCCCTGGCACCTGCACCCAGGTCAAGCTGGCTGGGAAGAAGCTGCCATGGGAGACCTGGACGTGGAGCCCACCCATCCTGAGTGAGAAGGGCTGCTGGCTGGCACCTACTGGGTTTGCAGAGGGATACGGGTGCAGGGGGATACACCTGCTCTAGGTGGTTTCAGAGCCAGGCAACCTGCGTGACTTGAGCGAGTCACGAACCCTCTCTGAGCCGCCCTCTGTAAAGTGGGGGCGATGTTATCACTCATCTTTATCATGGTAAGGAGTAAATGTGTAGATCTGGTGATTTCCTTTCTCCTTGGGGTTTCCTCCCTTGTCCCACCCCACCCCTCCGCTCCCCCTTAACGGGAGCCCACGGAGACATGAGCCCCAGCAGCGCACTTTCGCTGGCCCTCATTGCATCAAGAAGTACCCATAGAGGGGCACCTGGGTGGCTCAGTCGTTAAGCATCTGCCTTCGGCTCGGGTCATGATCCCGGGGTCCTGGGATCAAGCCCCGCGTCGGGCTCCCTGCTCCGTGGGAAGCCTGCTTCTCCCTCTCCCACTCCCCCTGCTTATATTCCCTCTCTTGCTGTCTCTCTGTGGCAAATAAAATCTTAAAAAAAAAAAAAAAAAGAAGTACCCATAGACACGTCTGCTTTTCCCACCAGAGCTCAGGCCTGATGCCTGTAGTGCTCTGGGCAAAAGGACACATGGAGTCCCACATTACAGAATCTACATATATTTTTTTTAAGATTTTATTTATTTATTTTGACAGAGAGACAGAGAGAGAGAGGGATCACAAGCAGGGGGAGTGGGAGAGGGAGAAGCAGGCTTCCCGCTGAGGAGAGAGCCCAATGCGGGGCTCTATCCCAGGACCCTGGGATCATGACCTGAGCCAAAGGCAGATGCTTAACGACCGAGGCACCCAGGCGCCCTCTAAATATTTTTTTAAGATTTTATTTATTCATTTGAGACAGAGAGATACAGAGAGAGAGAGCCTGAGCAGGGAGAGCGGCAAAAGGAGAGGGAGAGCCGGGAGCCCGATGCAGGGCTCGATCCCAGGACCCTGGGATCATGACCTGAGCCGAAGGCAGACGCTTAACCGACTGAGCCACTCAGGTGCCCCCAGAATCTAAATATTACATCATAAATCAAGCTATGGACTGCTAATAAAATATGTTCTATCCTCCTATTCAGTAAAGAAACTTTCATAACAATACAAAATCTATAAATCTGTAGTTTTTCTATGTCTGGAAGTCACATAAAAATATCAGAAAGTCAGGGCGCCTGGGTGGCTCAGATGGTTAAGCGTCTGCCTTTGGCTCAGGTCGTGATCCCAGGGTCCTGGGATCGAGTCCCCCATCGGGCTCCCTGCTCCTTGGGAGCCTGCTTCTCCCTCTGCCTCTCTCTCTCTGTCTGTCTCTCATGAATAAATAAATAAAATCTTTAAAATATATATATATATCAGAAAGTCAGATATCAAAGATGATTGAGTTTCATGATTATTGCTCATGTCCAAGGCGTTCAGGGGTATGAGATGAGTAAGAAAATAAAGACATACCGAGTTCATAAAGTATTATATATTTGTTCTGTAACATTCACTGTTCTTGTTTTATTCCAGTAAAACTATTGGCTATGTTATTATAATCAAGATTTTTCATATAATTACTGTCCTATTGGCAGTAATGATTTAAAGTGAAATATATTCAAAGAGCACAAAAATATAAATTAAATTAAATATATTTAAAAATTGAAAAGTATTGGGGCACCTGGGTGGCTCAGTCGGTTAGGCATCTGACTCTTGATTTCAGCTCAGGTCATGATCTCAGGGTTGTGAGACTGAGCCTTGCATCAGGCTCCCCGTTAAGATTCTCTCTCTCTCCCTCTGCCCCTCCCCGCAGCCCCTCTCTAAATAAATAAATAAATAAAAACTGACATGTATTTAAAATATACTCCACAAAGCTATTTTAACAATAATCAAAATTAGTAAAATTAAAAGGCAAAATATACATTACAAGTTACAATGAACTAATGTCAACATTTAAATTAAAAAGATTTAAAACTAAAACTTTATTTAACTTTTTGAAACTTTTATTCACTATTAACTATTTTTATAGAAGTAAACCTTCCCAATTCACATTCACATCCTCTGTGAACTCTGAGGCAGGGTCACAACCTTCCTGCGCTTCCCCGGGGCCCAAATGGTGTCACCATGAGTGGATGTTTGGTGTTTGGGTCTGTCTCACACTGTGTCAGTGCTGAGTGTCAAATCCCCAGGGTTGGTGATGCCCATGTGTTCTTAGTCCATTTATTGTGAATTGATCGTTTGTGTGTTTGTGATACGATCTAAACGACAGGCCCCAGGCAGATGAGCAAAGAGCGCTAAGAGACCAGGCACAATACCCAATACGTGGTATTGGAATGCTTTGGAAAAAAAGAAAAGTCCAATGTCTATGTCACAGAGGCAACCACCCTAAATGTTAAATATTTAAACATGAAAAAAGAAACCCTAAGAGCCCTTTAGAGCACCTCCCTCAGGGTCACGACAGTATTGATTCTGGGTGAGGCAACCTCTTCTTCCTTCATGTGCTCCCCTGAATTATTTGCAGGGCAGGTCAGTCTGGGGAAAGGAGAGTCACATCAGAAATCCATTAATGTCCTTTTAGGGTCATCTCCCTGCCAGAGGTAGGGGGCTGGGGAAGAGTTTCCCCCAGCAATAGGCCCTAAGACAAGGATCCAAATACAAGTAGCTTATTTGAGAGGTGATGCCAAGAATCACCAGTAGGGGGGTGCCTGGGTGGCTCAGTTGGTTCAGCGTCCGACTGGGTCTCAGCTCAGGTCTTGATCTCAGGGTCGTGAGTTTAAGCCCTGCATTGGACCCCACACTGGGCATGGAGCCTACTTAAAAAAGACTCACCAGTAGGGTGTTGGGAGACAATTCTCCATGGTTCTCTCCCATTTCTGTATCCTTGCCTTTGGAGGAGATGACTCCCTGTCCAAACAATCCTTTCAAGGGTGATGATTATACCAAACAGCCTTAGAAAACAGAGACAGTATCTCCCTCTAGGGAAAAAGGCAGATTTCTTTCTTGTCCAGCACAGCAAAGACTGTAGCTCCCCCTGAGTCCAAGGTTGGCAAGTTTGCTGGCAGCCTATTATAAAACATTCAGGCCCCTGACCCCAGGGCTCCTCTCCTGTAATGCAAACCCACTGCATGTGCACGCACCATCTGGCGCTTCCTGGGTCACCCTGCGGGAACTGGGGTTCAGGGAAGTGGTGCAACAAAATGCTGATCCTGCTGTTACTGTAACAAACTGATCCTTATTTCTGAACCATGAGTCTAGTGCCTTCTGCCAGCAGCCTTGGGAATATAAGGGGCTAACTTGTTAGCCTGCGAGTTGGGCAAAATCTCAGAACCTTCCCGGTTCCTGATGTAGAGGAGAGGGGAGGGGAGGCAGGAAGGAAAGCATACTTATTAGCCAGGTGTGTTAATGAGTGGGTTCCCTCCGTGGGCCACTGAGGCACAGTCCTCAGCTGAGAGATGGAGTAGAACACACCTCACTGTTGCCCCAGCAAGGAGTGGGGGAAGCGGGGGTGGGTAGCCAATGCCCACCTTCCCTGGCTTAGGGCTGCTCCAGGGGATGGGCTTTCAGCCACTGACCAAGCTGCCCTGTGCATCAGAGAAGGCCTCAGGCTGAGCACGGCAGCTACTGGGTGGGAACTTCAGTGGGAGAGGATCTGACTCCACCAGGGGCTCCAAGGGAGCAGGGCCTTATCTGAATACTGGCCATCCCCAGTGCCCCGCATGGTGCTGAGCAGACTGCCGTCGAGTGCAGGCCATGTGGCCCAAGGACAAGGGCCTGTTTACTTGCCTCTGTCCTCCACTAGGCCGTGAGCTCCCTATGGACAGCGTCTGTGTCAATTTTTCCTTCATCCTCTGGTACCAAGGGTAGGCCTGACAGCAAACATTCACTGAAGGTTTGTTACACAAATGATGCAAATAAAGAAGCTTCTAAAATAAATGAGCAGGGGCGCCTGGGTGGCTCAGTCGGTTAAGCATCTGCCTTTGGCTCAGGTCATGATCTCAGGGTCCTGGGATCGAGCCCCGCATCGGGCTCCCTGCTCAGCAGGGAGTCTGCTTCTCTCTCTCCCATTCCCCCTGCTTGTGTTCTCTCTCTCTCGCTGTGTCTCTCTCTGTTAAATAAGTAAATAAAATCTTTTTAAAAAATTAATAAGATAAAATAAACGAGCAAAGCGGAGTCAGCCAGGAGTAGATGGAGCCATCCTTAACTAGAGAAAGACTGTCTCTCTCTCTCCAAAATCCAAACAAGTACACTTGATAGGGAGGCACCAGAGGCATCAATCCCTGTGTGGGAAACAAGACACAAGTGCTCTAGCCATCACTATGTTTCAGTATTATATTGAAGATGTTAGCCAAGCCAAAAGACAAGGAAAATAAATAAGAGCTATAAATATTAGAAAGGAAAAGGCAAATATGTCATTATTTTCAGTAGTAAAACATCAATGTAGAAAATCGAAGAGACGCTACCCTATGATCTCACTCATGTGGAATTTAAGAAAGAAAACAGATGAACATATGGGAAGGAGGAAAAGAAAAGAGGGAGAGAGGGAAACAAACTGTAAGAAACTCTTAACGACAGAGAACAAACTGAAGGTTGCTGGGGGGAAGTGGGCGGGGGATGAGCTAGATGGGTGACGGGCATTAAGGAGGGCACTTGTGATGAGCACTGGGGGTTGTAGTATGTAAGTGATGAATCACTGAATTCTACTCCAGAAACCAATATCGCATTGTATATTTAACTAAAATTTAACTTAAAAAAAATCCAAGAGAAGCAACAAACAACAGATCTAAGAGAAACCAAGAAGTGGCCAGTTATAAGAAATCTACAGAATATACAGAATATACAGAAATTAACTTTCCCATGCATCAGCAAGAACCAGTTAGGCCATCCCCCTGTATAATAAATAACAACGAACACTGTATAATAGATAAGCAGCAAAGCTAACTTTTCATGAGGGGCATGGGCCTCCAAGAGCCAGGGGAGGAAATGAGGCGTGAGAAACTGAAAACCACCTTCCTCTTGACTGTGAGTTTTACCCCCTCTACCCCCCAGAACCCACCGAACTTTTTCCAGGGCCCCAAGCCAGGTGCACAGGCAAGATCCTGATGTCCTCCCCTGCGCTGGACCCTCTGCACGAGAGGCTGGATGCAAGTCGGCCGTTCCAGAGGCTGGGCCAGCTGGGTCCGTTCCCGGAGACCCAGCAAAGCCACCCGCTGTCGCCCTGGACAGAGTTCTTAGCTCTTAGGGGTGAGGAGGAGCGAGGACATGGCCAGGTGGCGATGGGGCCTGCAGCCTCGTGGGGCAAAGGCAGCCCCTCTGCCCCCTTCCCGAGACCAAGTGGAAGGGAAGAGCTCTGCAAAGGAGCAGAGAACTTGGTCCGGGGCCATTTAACGGAAGAACAGCACCCACCATACCTGAGGGCTCTGTACACGTCGTCAGCCCCCACCCTTCATCTGGCCAAACACAGGCACAGGCCTGGCGCACCTCGGAGGGGCGCTCCGGACGCAGAGGAATAAACACAACCCGGAATGGCAAACTCAGAGGGGCCCATCTTGCCTCGAGTGCAGTGCCCCAGGCCTGCTCTGTCAGCCGGCAGTCTTCTCCTCCCTCAGAGGTCACACAGGGCCTTGCTGGGCCTTCAGAGAAGGAGCAGAGCTGGGGGCAGGTGATGCAGTTTCCTGTCCTAGCTCCAGGCCCATCTCCACCACAGGCAAAGTCTGAAGGGCTGGGCTGGCCTGGGTGTGGCTCCCACTGTCCCTGCCTCAAGCACTCTCCACTGCCAGCCTAGGCCTCTAGACATCAATTTTATGTTTAGTAGGTGGGTGAACAGAAGGTGGAAGTAAGGGGAGAGACACTCAGGGGAATCCAGAGACAGGGGAACCTTCCATGGGGCCAGAGAAGGTGGAGGAAGCATTTAACTGGAATATGGAAGTCTGGGTTTCATTCAGGGACTAGAGAGGGAGAGGGAGAGGCAGAGAGAGCATTCTAAGAATCTAGGACAGCCCAACCAGAGATGTGGTGTCTAGGAAACCCCTGGCAATGGTCCATAAAGCGGGAATACCCTGGGATTGGTCCTCAGGTGAGTTTGCTGGGAGAATCACCGATCTCATCTCCCAGTTTAATGCAGTGTGGTTGTCAGGGGGTGTCAAGCCCCAAGTGCCAGGTCAAAGAGGTTAGGGATGTAGGCAAGGCACCCGGGTCTGGCTCCCTCCCCTCCCAGATCTCCCCTAACTTGCTATGTGATCCTGGCTGAGGCATGGACCTTCTCTGGACTTCAGCTTTCTTTCCAATGAAATGGGGGCACAGAACTCAAGCTCCCATGGGCTCCCATGACTCAGAGACAGTGGTTGGACCTCCAAGACAGGGTGTCACCCCCCACACACACGCACACGAGGTCCTGACCTGGGTCCCAGAGCCTAGAACTCCCCCAACCATGGGAGGCCCTGCACGGACACCTGTGATCATGGACATGGACCCAAGTGCTCAAGTCCCGTACCTATGCACATGCACGTGCATGTGGGTCCCTGTGTAAGGGTGTACAGGTCTCTACAATGTGTGTGTATAAGGTGGCCTGGTTCCCCCAAAGCCTAAGGGCTCCCATGGTTCCCCATTGCTGACCAGAGAAAACCTAAGGACCCAGCCACGCACTGGAGGCCTGTCCAGAGTCCCTGTCCAAGTTCACGAGTTCCTCAATGATAGGCCCCAGCTAAACCACCCCACCCCCTGGCTTGGTTTACAGTTGGTGCTCAGTGCTTACAGGTGAACAATGGGCCTGGCAATGGGAGGGGAGTGAGGACAGATAAGGACCTCAGTCACCCCTTCCCCAAGCTTGGGAGGTAGCCTCAGCCCTCAGTAACCTCAGAGAGGATGTTGGCGGGAAAAGAGGACTTGTCCCAGATGCTGCATCCTCACATGACCCTGAATTCCACCCCACCCAAGTGGCCCCAAGAGGAGGCTGAGGTATTGGGCTCTTGGCTGTGACTCAGCGGAAGGAAGGCAGGAAGGGGGGTGGTGCTGGGCCCTAGGGTTTTGCTTCTCATTTCTCTCTTTCCAAAGCATAGCATGTTCCCAGAAATGAAGGTACCCGGAACTACAGAAACCTCAGGATTTCAGGGGCACTGGGTTCCCCAGTCCTCTCACCCCTGGAGACACCACCATAGGACCCAGGGAAGCCCCTAGTCCCTGTCCCCTGCTTGGAGCCTTCTTCCCGGCCCCAGAACCAGGGACTGAGTACCTGGAAGGTCCACACAGGAGCCAAGAGGGGATTGTGGATTCCTGAGACTTTTCAGGAGCATGTGGCCCAGATTCACTTGCTGAGAGAGATGCTAGGCGAAAGGAGGCTCTGGGAATCTCTAGGATGTGTAGGGATAGACCAGCCAGGGCGGGCTTCCCGGGAGAGGCAGAGGTGGAGGCTGCCGTCACCAAGAACCCAAAGGAGCCCCATGAGTTCCCTCCCCCATCCCTTCCCCTTCCTCCTTTCCTTCTCTTCCCTTCCTCCTTTCCTTTCCTTCCTCTTGCTTTCCCTCTCTGTTCTTTTCATATTTTTAGTTATTATAAAGAGCCCAATTTAAAAAAACACACACAGGGACCCCCGGGTGGCTCAATCCGTTAAGCGTCTGCCTTCAGCTCAGGTCATGATCAAGTCCCACATCGGGCTCCCTGCTCAGCTGGAGCCTGCTTCTCCCTCTGCCTGCCACTCCCCCTGCCTGTGCTCGCTCTCTCTGACAAATACAAATAAAATCTTTTTAAAAAATAAAATAAAAAACCACACACAGACTCAAATGGACATAACACCAAATTATGACACATGTGTCCAGAGAACTGGGTTTGTGCTGAGCTTGAAATAAGACTTCTCCTGCTGTCCCTGTGAATGAACGAGACTGCAAGGTGGCCTTCAGAAACACTGCCACCACTTGTAACCACTTATCTGTGACAGTCGGGGGTCACATGGTCCTGTGTTACTGAAATCAAACACGGAGAGAAACTGATCTCTGAGGCTGACATAAGATGGTGGTTTCTATCCCAGCCCCCAGTTCAAACGTGTGTTCCCTGCTGGGTTTTTTGGTTTTGTTTTTTTTTTAAGATTTATTTGAGAGAGAGAGAGAGCGCGCGAGCAGGGGAGTGGCAGGCAGAGGGAGAGGGAGAAGCAGGCCTCCCACCGAGCAGGGAGCCCGACGCGGGACTCGAGCCCAGGATCGACTGAGCCACCCAGGCACCCCCACTGCTCTTCTTGATGGACTTAATGCTAAGAAGATGTTGAGAATGTGAACTTTAAAAATAAATTTATGTTTGGGGCGCCTGGGTGGCTCAGTTGGTTAAGTGTCTGCCTTCGGCTCAGGTCATAATCCCAGGGTCCTGGGATCGAGCCCTGCATCGGGCTCCCCGCTCAGCGGGGAGTCTGCTTCTCCCTCTCCCTCTGCTGCTCCCCCTGCTTGTGTGCTCTCTGTCAAATAAATAAATAAATCTTTTAATAATAATAATAATAAATTTATGTTTAAGATACTACTTTTTATCTTTGTAAAAATACATTTTTGAGTTCCACCTGAACTTGGTTTGAAAGAACAAGCCCCGTGGCTCTAAGTGGCTGGGCAGAACGAGGAAGAGAAGGTGGACTTCTGTGCAGGCAGAGAGAGGGATGTGTAGTCAGTTCTTGAGCTGTGGAACGCCTTCAAGAAGGGTGGTAGGCACATCCACCTGGCGCCTCTTTCCAGAACCCCCCAGGCCCGGGGACCTAAAACGCCTTGCCTGCCACAGCAGGCTTCATCCGCCTCATGCTGAGATGGGACTCACTTTCCTCACCTGCCTGTCAGCCAAGAAGCAGAGTCCGAGGTCTGTCAGTCCCACCCCACGGCCAGAGGACATCGGTCTCCTTTCAGTAGCAGCTGCTCTCACTGCCCTCCCCTGCCCTGCATGCAGGGCCCTTCGCCTGGTTCCTCTCCTGCTTAGCAGAAAGCTGTGCACCTGGGAGGGAAGGCAGCTTGCTCTACACCTGGTGCTTCTGGATGATTCGCCACTTTCCCCTTTGCCTGGAAGCTCCGGTGAGCCCTGCCGCTCCCCCACCCGCAGGTATTGAAGCCTCTCTGGGAATTGATGCCCTGGGCTGTAGTCAGCCCCCAGGGCCTGCTCACCACCTCCCCCCACCCACCCCCACCCCAGGCCCCCAGCTGGGACATCAGAGGACTAGGTTCAAACCCCACCATGGCCACGTCCTGGTTGTGTGACATTGGGCCACTTAAGCCTTAGTCTCTTTACCTGTCTAGCGGCCAAGGACGCCATTCCTGATGTGCAGACAGGATTTATACCAGGGTGTGCAGCACCTGGTCCAAGCTGGCACGTGGAGATGCCTGGTTACTGTTGCTGGCCGTGTTCAGGCATGGGAGAGTGGTCTTCCCAATTCCACTTAAAGGGCTGCCTCTGACCTCTGCCCCCACTGGTCGCATCTGGATCTCCCAACACCTGTCCATTGCCCGACACTGCCTCTGAGATGTCCTGATGGCATCCCACACTCTCTTAAGCTGACTATCTGAACTCCCCCACTCCCCAGTTTATGGTGGCTCCAGGCACCCCAGGCTCCAGTCAGAGTCACGGGCCCCATTGTGGTCCTGGCCACCCCCTCCTCCATCCAGCCGCTCAGCAATGGCTGAGCTACCATGAGGAGCGACCTTAGGAGCTACCTGAAGAGCCATATGAAAGAGTCACACCATCCAAGTAAATGACCACAGGCCCTTGGCAGCAATGGAGGCCGAGAGCACTGCACCAGGAGTCAGGAGGCAAGTGCTATGCGACCCTGAGTAACCTTCCTTCTGTTTAGAAGGAGGGAGGATCAGGGAGTAGACATGAGTCTTGCTACAATCCACCCCATCTATTACGATCAGGCCCCTCTGGGCTTCGTCCAAAGCATATCAGGAGAATCCACATTCTCAGACCTGCCATGAGGCACACCAGCCCATGTCTGGCCTCCCAGCAGCTCTCCCTGCAGCTCCTGAGTTAGGACTGTGGCTTCAGGAGCCCCAGGCCTTGGCCAGGTGGGATGGTGCCTCCAGAGCCCCTGAGTCCCCTTCATCTGTAGTGGAATCTTGGTCCTAGCCTGGACAGGGACAGGGTCAAGGACTCTCGTTGGTCACTTCAGCTTTGGGAACCACAGGCTGAAAATCCCGGGAACGACTTAACTCTATCTGAGCCCAGTCCGGGCCTGTAGCAGGAGCTGAGCACTGGCTGGTGGCTGGAAGAAGCCGAACCCTCCACAGCTTACATGGAGCGGTCAGGTCCATCAGCTTGAGGTCAGGGACTGCTGTACCCATTTCACAGATATGGTATCTGCAACCCAGGGAGTTCACATACTCAAGATGTGCTGGGCCAGCCATGTGACTCCACGGGGGCCAAGACCAGGCTCAGATCCAGTCTCTGCGATCCTCTCTGAAGGCCACCATCGATGGACTGTGGAAACCAGCCTTGCTTCCCCTCCCTTGATCACAGTCCCATTCCCTAGCTGCCCCTGGTGCCAGGTTAGCCTCTCCCGAGCCCACTCTGAGCACTCTTCTAGTCTTTTCGCTGCAAGGGCCAGCTCTCTACCGTATGTGAGACCTGTGGATGGGGGGGCCTGGGCAGCCTAGGTCTCCAGATGGAGCAGGGTTCCCCACCCCCCACCTGGGCACTGCAGCCACCCCAGCTCTCCGAGCAGAGGTATTCAAGGCAATCTATCATGCACCTCAAACTCCCTCCAGCCCATGGCCATTGCCAAAGCTACTTCCATTTGCAGGTATCTGTTAGGGCAGCGCTTCCCTTCAGGTACTACCATCTGTAGTAGTTTCCTGTTGCTGCTATAACACGTTACCACAAATCCGGCAGCTTCAAACACAAACTTATCATCTTACAGTTCTGGAGGTCAGAAATCCAAAATTAGCTTTACTAGGTGAAAACCAAGGTACTGGCAGGATTCTGTTCTTTCTTGAGGCTCTAGGGGAGAATCCATTTCTTTGCCCTTGCCAGTGTCTGGCGGCTGTCTGCATTCCTTGGCTCGCGGCCCTTTCCCCCCGGCTGCCCGTGACGTCTGCTTCCCTCGCATCTCCTCTCACTGACAGTCCGGCCCCGCCTCTTCTGAGGACACTTGTTGATTACAACTGAGCCCATTTGAATAATCCAGGCTAATCTTTCCATCTCAAGATCCCACGAAGTTCCTTTTGCCGTGTAAGGCAACACATTCACAGGGTTGGGGGATTTAGGACACAGGCATCTTTGGGGCCATGTTTCGATCTGCCACAGGAGGGGTAGGGTTGCTTTGACAGTCCCCAGCTCCGTCCAGAGGGCCGATCCAGGACTGAGGATCAGGCCTCTATTAGTGACAAGGGATCAGGCCGTTCTTCTGGCCAAGACTCTGGCTGGGGGCTGGCTGGAGCCCAGAGCTCCAGGAAACCTGGCGCCTGCCCCTGCTGCCGCCAAGGACAGCCTGTACTCCTGGCGCAGCCGCTGCGCACAGATCAGGTGCACTTGAGCCCATTAGCAGCCATGGCTCAACTGGGACAGCTGCCTAGCTCGGCCGGGCCCTCATGGCTTCTTCTCCCTACTGGCCAGAGTATGCAAAAGCTGCTGTCAGGTCAGACGTGAGCCACACAGGAAGTCCCAGCTTCATTCTAGAAAACACATACGTTGCTGGTTTATTAGTGGATATCACTGACCGTGGGGCCCCGGAGAGATGAGGGAGGTTTCCAAGTACATGGGGCAGACTGTCACTGGTGTTGGCTAGGGGCTGGCGGTGAGAATAGAGAGGTCAGGGCAGGCGTTCTGGAGGAGGCAGCTTCTGGGTTGCAGCCTGAAGGAGGGGACCGTTTGGACTGGCGGGGGTGGGCAAGGCACTCCTGACGAAAGGCACTGCTGGGTGAAGGGAAGGAGTTGTGTTTAGGGAATGGAGAGTTCTGCAGGGAGGCTGCAGTCCAGGGCAGCGGACTGAAGAATCCAGAAGTGGACAGGGAAGGACATGCTGGCCTGAAAAGGTTAAATCAGTTCTCAAAGCCTGTTGAGCAGTGGAACCCGCTGTTCTGAGGGAAGCTTACTCAGAGCACTGACGGGGCTTCGAAAGGGTCTGCAAGGCCTTTCCCATAGCCATCTTCCCCCATCTCTTCAGACCTGGACTCTGTAGGATACAGTGAGCACACTCATGTCATGAGGAGACAGCCAAGGGTTTAGGGCATGGATTGGCAGCAGTAAAATGGCCCAGGGTCCAGCTACAGGCAGGTGGTAGAAAAGGGTTTGGGAGGCACATTTCAATAGAGCAGCTAGATGGGCCCCCACAGAGAAACCCATGGGCAGCTAGGACAAGCATCCAACTGTGAGGTAAAGCCTCAGCTTCCTCAACTGTCAGCAGAGGGGATGGAGTTGCTTTCAGAGTACATCAGTCAAGGACTCCTACGGCCCCTGCCCATGCTTAGGGCTTGGCTGAAGGAGGCTGGGTGGGCAATAGGCACATCCCTCAAGACCTCAGGGGCCTGACGAGCCTGGACTCTACCATCAGCTCCGTGACACATGCTAGAGGGGGTAATTCATCTCTTGCTCTGGCCCCAGGAAGGTGGGAAGACAGGGCAGGTGAGCCTGGCTTTCCCCAGGGAGAGCCATTGGCTATTGTGGCCTGGACCTCAGAGCATTCAAGCCCTGTGAGGAGGGACAGGAGGGGCCTCACGGTTTTCTGGGAAGGGCTGTCCCCAAAAGTGGCTCCCGCTTCAGTGACCTCAGCTGTCCCTACACTGTTACTCTCCTCATGTTACCGTAAGGTGCCATATCTACATGTTTGCCAAGACATTTCCTCAGTGATGGGTCTGAGGCCAGGAGGGTGAGACCATCAGGGAAGCCAGCACTGGCTGAGGTGTGGCCCAGACTGTGGGACAAAGGGCAACAGACTGCTGGCTCAGGGCAATTGCCCTGAGATGCTGCCGAAGACAGCAAGAGCCAAAGGGCATGGGCAGGAGGAGAAGGGCAGTATCGGTAAGGCCCTACGCAGGCAGAGGTCTGAGAGCACCAGGGCCTCCAAAAGCCAGGAGCCTCACTCTGGCTCTGCCCTACAACACCCGCCCAGGTTCCTTCCAGGTAGCCATGACAGGGAGTCCTTGCTCCTCCTCAAAGGAGGCCACGCAGCTGGGGCTGGGCAAGGGGCAGGATACTGGAGCCCCGGGAGCCACCGTGTGGCCCCTGCTAAGGCACACGTGACCCCCAGCCACAGTGCGTGTGGCGGGGGGTGGTCAGTCACACCAGGTATGACCCCAGCAGTGTAGACTCCCAAAGGCAGGGACCTTACTTCCCATCTCCACTTGGCTAGCTCCCACCACGGGATGTGAGGCCCCACCTTCTCTTGGGGAGTGCCTGCTGGGAGAGTGAGCATTCAGGTGCCAGCTACCCACGCCACCTGGCTGACTAAGAGTCAAAGGAGGCTGCTACCTTGCGCTGCCCTTGGAACCAGGAGAGAAAGGAGCTGCCTGAGGTCCCGGTGGAGACACAGCCCTGGAAACCAGCAGCCTGGCCCCAGCTGAGGATGCCGCCCACTAGACCACACTGCCTCTGGCCACCGCACCACCAGATCAGGCCCTTCAAAGTGCCAGTGGGTGATATGAGGAATTTGAGAAACAAGACAGAGGATCATAGAGGAAGGGAGGGGAGAATGAAACAAGACAAAACCAGAGAGGAAGACAAACCATAAGAGACTCTTAATCTTGGGAAACAAACAGGGTTGCTGGAGGGGTGGGGGGTGGGAGGGATGAGGTGGCTGGGTGATGGACATTGGGGAGGGTATGTGCTATGGTGAGCGCTGTGAATTATGTAAGACTGATGAATCACAGACCTGTACCCCTGAAATAAATAATACATTATATAATAATAATTTTTTAAGAAGGCAAAAAACAAACAAAACAAAAAAACAAGAAAAAGAAAGTGCCAGTGGGGTAAGCCAGCTCGGTCTGCCATGTTCCTCAGAACCCAACCTGATGCAGGGTCACATCAGCACCTGCCAACTTGGAGGTTTCCTGCCGCTATGGGCAGGAGGGCTGGGCTTCTAGGCTCCGGGAGGCCACACATCTGCACAGACCAGAGCAGGGGTGGAGGTCACAACCAGATGCCCGCTCTTCTGGGCTTCTCGCTCTCCCCAGCCCCAACCAGGGACAGAGGAGTGATCTGAAACTCCAAGGTCAATTTGGAAGGAATGTTTTAACCAAAAGCTACGATAATAAAAAGTAAACATAAACCCTGCTCACTCCTCACTGACACAAACCTTCCATTAAATAAATGTGGATGTGTAATACCAGAACAGTGCAGGCCCTCAGCCCACTCCCCTCCAGCAAGCAGGCAGCCATCTCTGAGCTGAAGCTCAGATGACATTCCTGTGCTCAGAGCCTAGGCCCAGTCAGGGAAGTGTGTGAGAGCACACCCAGGGCAGTGGAGGGCTAAGTTAACCCCCAGGAGTGAGCTGCTCAGTGCCAAGGCCCCTGGCATCCAAGGCCCAGGAGGGACACCCATGTGCCTTTTTCCACACCATGCTCCCACACCCCCACTAGGTAGGAGACTGATGGCCAGCCCTGCTGGGGTAGGAGGAAGCTCCTACCCCCAGCACTGCCTGGGGACAAGGGGTCAGGCGACCCACAAATCACAGTGATCACATTAGATCACTACTTGTTGGTCTCTCGACACTTTATTGGCCCTATCTCCCAACATCCCCAAGGCAATTCCACCCACAGAGACATTGAGCAACCTGCCCTTGGCAACTCTGATGGGATGGAACCAGACCAGGAACCTGGGTCTGCTCAGCTCTGGGTCAAACTATGGATGCCCTTGTTCTGTGCCACCCCAGGAAAGACATCCCCACCCTTGCTTCTACCCCCAAGTCTCCTAGAACATAAAAAAATGTAGAATCACAGAATCATGGGAAATGTCATAAGCATCTGGGTTCTGGAAGGTACCATCACCTCCCTCCAAGTAGCTCTCCAGGCAGAACTATCAGCCAGGCACTCTGGCAGGCTGGGGCCCTGGCCAGGCATCTGCGGGGCAGCCACGCTGTCGCCCAGACTTCCGGATATGCAGGAACCGGGGCCTAAGGAGACAGGGACAAGAGGCCAATTACTCACTGCCTGGGTCCCAGGGGATGCGCAGAGAGTGGGAACGGTACACTCTCCCTACAGTCCTACAGCCAGAGCTGTGGATAGCCTGGGTAGAAAGACCGGTGTGGTGGTGGGGGTAGGGGTGGGTAGAGCTCACCTCCCACAGAAGTCCCTGCGCACAGCCACGAGATCAAGGAACAGGTTAGGCCGGCTCTGAAGCCAGCTGCCAACAAGCTCTGGGTGTCTTGGGTCCACTTCTAAGAAAATGCTCCTACATGGGGGAGAAATGGGTCAGCTCAACCAGGCAGGGCTGGGACCTGTACTTCTGCGTTGCCTGGGCTGGGAGGGGTGGGGTAAGAATGACTGTTAGGGCAGGCCCAGTACACACTGGGACAGACCCAGGAGACCTGCCCTATCCATACCCAGAGTCCTTCAGGAGCCAAGGTGCCAGGGCCAAGATGTGGGTAATGATGTCCATGCCCTCCTCCCCACCATCCAGGGCTAGTGGGTCTTCATAGCTGAAGGGGAAACAGAGGAAGGTTAGAGCCTCTGAAAAGTGTGGAAGAGCGGAGCAGAGCCCTCCACAAAGGGACCCTGTGGAACTTACACTCTCAGCCTCAGAAAATCTGAGGACTCAGAATAGAGGGCCCCCAAATGGCAGCTCTGATTCTCTTACCTCCTACAGGTAGCACCCCACCAGGCAGTGCTGGGCTGCTCAGTGAATCCCACTGATGGATATAGCAGGGCATGAGGGTCTCCCCACAATAAGGCTGCTCCTATGCTTGGTCTGGGGAAGCCTGTAGCTGGCCCAAACCACTCCTGAAAACCTGGAAAAGGGGAGCCAGCACCCTGACCCACATTACCGCTGCCTTGTCCAAGGACTTCTGGGCTACCCCTGGTTCTCAGATCGTTTGAGAACAGGATGGTTCAGTGCAAAGCCTGGAGTAGGGTCTTAGTCCCCGCTTTCCTGTTAAGCCCCCACATGACCTTGGACCAGGCATCTTTCCTCTCCGGGCCTCAATCTTCTGTAAAATGATGTACCCATCTGAGCACCTTCTATGTAATTCTATACCACATCTGATACATGAGTCATTGCTAGGTCCTCCCCGTGGCCCTGCAAAGGTCTACCACTACCCTTTCAAAGGTCAGGCTCAGAGAGGTTCTGTGATTATCCAGTGGTCTTCAGTGGGAAGGCAGAAGCTGAACCAAGTAGGTCTGTGGGCTCCAGAATGAGCCTTTCTTTCAACATCGCTGCCCCTTTCAGTCCCTTCTCCCTCCCTGTACCTCCCAATGGTGTAGTCCCCCAGGGCAGACACATCCTACTAGGCCCTCTCAGGCCCGGCCTCCCTCCCACCACACCCTGCACCTGAGGATCTCAGGGGCCAGCTGCTCCATGTCTTGGTGGAAGATGTAGGGAGGGTTGCTGACGACCAGGTCCATGGGGCCCCAGGGCAGGAGGTGCGCCCAGCTCCCCTCTACAGTCAAAGGGAACACAACGCAGAGAATGGGTGGTAGCTCTACCTGCCACCAGGTCCCTTGGGTAGTCCCTCTCCCCAAGCCACACCCTGGGCCTATCTCTGGACCTGATAACCCAGGCTTGCAGATTAGTGCCCAGGGTCCCCAGCCAGCAGACTGGTCAGGAGCGTGTATACTCTGACATGGCAGCTCTTCCCCTAGAATATCCTTGCCCTCTCTTCTTCCTGTCAAAAACCTCCTCAATAAGCAAAACTCAGCTCAAGTGCCACCTTCAGGAAGCCCTCTCTGATTGCTTGGGCAAAGCAAGAGCCTCTGTCCTCTGCAGCCCCACTGGCCCAGCCATGCACTGCCTCCTAGCCAATATGGACTGAGTGTACGGAGGACATGCCTGGTTTCAGTCAATTCCTGGCAACTCTGTTTCCTGGTTCCATCCAGATGCCATGTCCTACACCAGGTGTACCGCACTCTAGGGATGGCACTTATGAGGCTCAAAGATCCTGTGGATACGTAATGCAGCCAGAACCAGAGCCAGAACCCAAGGACACTCTGCAAAGGTGTGGCTGAGCTGTATGTACCGTGCCTGGGCCAGACACAGGGGCAGGGTGGGCAGTATTAAAGTATTTTGGTCCTAAAAGCTTTCTCTTGAGCTTCTGCTTATCTCTCAACAACAAGCAAGCCCTAGTTAAAAACTCATTAGTTATGGGGGGGTTCAGAAAGTAAGAAAGACCCTGTGGCCGGTCCCTGCATGGGTCAGGTCAGCCCACAAGGCAACAGGGACTTGCCTGTCCTCAGCAGGGATTGGTCTGAGATCCCCCGTATGTGTACGTGTGTGTGTGTGCATGTGTGCACGGGCATGTATAAATGAATGGTGGGGAAGCCCTCCTTCCATTTCTGCAGAGTGCCCATCCACCGAGCAGCACCAGTGCCCAGGATCCAGCCCCCCAGGGAAGACCAGTAGGGAAGATACCTAAGGTCACATCGAGGGGGACGATCCGAATTCTGTCCAGCAACCGAAGCCTGGAGAGATGGGAAGTGAAGTGAGCACCGGGAAGACTCCTACCCATGGCTACCAGGACTATGAGAATAAACCCTTCTTGGACTGACAGATCTCTGGTGCCCACCGTCCTTCATAACCCTGTGGGGTCTATGCCAGGCCGCTCCACCCCACCTCCCCTTTCTTAGGAGTGGAAAGCAGACATCAGTGAGTAAGACATCTAAATAGGGATTGAGAAGAGGCCCCAAAGCTGGACTTCCCCAATCCTGGCCCTTTTTACCCCTGTCCACCTACCTTTGAGCATTCTCCTGGGTCAGGCAGATGGCAGCTTCTCCTTTATCCACGGCAATGACTCGGCTCTGCCCCAAGAACAAACAAAGGGTACATAGGAGGCAGGGTGCCCAGAGAAGCCAGGCCTGGAGACCAGAGCTCCCCTCCATCCCCGTACCAGAGAGGAGGGAAATACCCAACAGCTGTCCCTTCTTTGTAGCCAGGGTCTGGCCAGACAAAAGGGGATGGGGGCTGTGACCATGATGGGCTGGGGGCAGCCCTGTCCTCCCACATCTGGCCATCTCCCATCAAGTGCTTCTAGCAGAGATGGGTGGGGGAGGATCAGTGGGAGGGACAGTGAGTGGCAGTCCCAGTCTACTCAGGGTGGGGCACAGGGATGCAGAGGGGGCTCACCTGGGGAAGCTGACTCAGCAGGCTGAGGGCAATGGCTCCCGATCCGCAGCCCACCTCCAGAATGAGGGGGCCACCTTGGGCTCCCACTGTACAGGGACTCTGGGCTACCTCCTCCAGCACCCATTCAACCAGCTCCTGTGAGGCAGAGGGGTCCGAATCAGAGTCAGTGCCAACCTGGCCCCCCTGGGGGTCTTGGTACAGAAGCCCAAGCACGGTTAGGCCCTGTGTGAAGGTAGCGGGGGTGGCTAAAGCCAGACTGATATTCATGTCAGGCCGTGGGCAGGTCACTCTGCCTCTCCATGCCTCAGATTCCCCATCTGTAAAACTGAGCAACTGAGGATAACCAACCTCATTGGGTGGCAGGGGGATTAAACAGAACCACACTCATGAAACATAGATCCCATTCCCAGTATATGGTAAGTGTTCAATAAACCCCAGCGAGGCCCTTTACAGACAGCCTCCCATCTTGTGCTCATAGCAATGCTAAGAACCATACCTGATGGTCCCTGGCCACTTCCTCTGTGACTGGCCCTGCTTCCAGAGCTTTCCCTCCATTAATCTGTTGTATCCTCACAACCAGCCATTGAGGAAGCCAAGTCCCCTCCTGGAGCCCAACTTACAGCTCACGATTGCTAATTATCAGGAGCCAGAGTGTCCCCAGCTTCTTCATAGAGCTGAACTTAGGACACTCCCAGGAAGGTTTCCAGGCCAAAAGGACATGGAATTCCCTTCATGGGGGTGGGGCACAGTAGGGAGAAGACAGTCCTGCCTGAGCCCCATATCCAAAGGGACTATGGTATACACAGGGCACAGGGTAAGTGGGCATGATGTGACAGGAGATGCCTGACTGCACCACCCCTGTCTTGGGGGCCGGGGGACACTTCTAGACAGTGTCACTTTGGAAACAACAGGCTTTCAAGTCTTGTCCACCATCTGCCACCTGCAGAGACTGTGCATGGAAGCCAACAGAGGGTAGAGGTGAGGGTGGAGGGCTGCTGCCACCCAGAAGCCAACTGTTTCTAATGAGCAGTGGAGTGAGGGCCCAAGTAGCCAGGCGTGGAGCCGGGGAAGGGCAGTGTGCTTCGTTCTCAAAGGCAGCCCTTAGGAGAGGTCGCTCTACTTGGGACTCCAGGATCCCAGGCAGGGCTGGCTCAGGGAATGGGCAGAGGGATCAGCAAGTGGGTGCTTCCCTCATCTATAAAGAGGTCCACCTCCTCCAGAAAGGCTTCCTCACTCCCTGCCAGGCTCTCTCTCATGGCTTTCCTCACCATTGAGTCTCAAGTCTAGGATGCGGTTTGCCTCTCCCACCAGACTGAAGGCTCCATGATGGGAAGACCGGGGATCCAACCCATCACAGTGTGTCCCAGAGGCAAGGTCTGACCCTCAGGGGGCCTCTTGGCTACTTCCCAAGGGCTTGGCAAGCTCTTGTGGGAAGCCACCCTGAGTCTCAGACCCCCCACCAGGTCCCCCCAAATCTCCAACGTCAACAGTCAGGCTCAGTGGCTCCAGATCGCTCAGACCCATTTTTCACTTAAGCTCCTCAGTGCTGAGTCCCAAAAGGCATTTCATCCTTCCAGGCCCCCCAATCCCCAGAGCAGAGAGCTCACCTGTCCCCAGGGTAGCAAGTCCAAGGCAGTAGAACTTGGCCAGTGGGTCCAACCCTTTCTATCCCCCCCACCTGTTCCCACCAGCCCTGTACCAGGCACTAATGGAGACTTTAAGGGTGCTTGCAGCAATCTGGGCCCTCAGTGTTGGGACTGACATAGCACAAGCAGCCTAGGGCTGTGGTGGAGACTGTGGTCTCAGTGCTGAGGCCACGTATGAGCAGCTGGTAGGAGAGCTGAGACTTGTCAGGGCTGTGAGCATCTCCTGGTTTCCTGGCCAGACAGACCTACTCTGGTTGGAGAATGACCTCTTGGCCAGCCTCCTCACAAAGACACCCTTGACCTGAGAGACACACACCACATATATGAACAGCCACCCCGGGCAGCATGTGAAGCTGAGAGACTGGGCCCCCACAGCCACCAGTACCCTCTGTTACACTCCAGAGGATCATCCTGGCTATGGGACCACCTGGGGTCTAAGGGTAGAGACCACCCACAAAAGTCCAAAAACTCTCCTCTTCACCAAGTGAAGAGCCTCCAGCCTCCATCAGTCTGAAACTGGTGGCTCTTTAGGGAAGGCTGAAAGCCAAGTGGTCACAGACCCAGGGCACCTCCTCCAGATGAATAAGGGAAGAATCCAAAACCATGATGGGATGGGGATAGGAGGGAATGTGGGGAACAGGGAGCTTTTGGCTCTGCTGGAGCCGCTGTCTCAGCAGGACCCTATACCCCCTCAAAAGGTCGGCCCAGGCCTCAGCAGGACCTGAGTGCTGTGAGCACCCTCCATTAGGATGCTCTGGGTGGGCAGCCCGAGGAGGGTGGCATTGCCTCCCTCAAGCCAATCACAGACAAGGCATTGAGCCTCCTACACCCCACAGAGCCTCACCTCGCCAGGCTGGATAGGAATGGTTCACACTCCCAGCCTTGGGTTTCCCACTGTACACACTGCCAGGCTGAGGATTGAGCCACCTTCCCACCCACAGGGAAAGCCCAACTCATCAGGCCACATGCCACCTACAGCTTCACATTTCTGACTTCTGCCCCCGTCATCAGAAACTGCCCTTCAGTGGATGGAAAGAACACAGGCACCATGATCTCTTCCCTGCCCCCATTCTCCCTACTCCCTGCCACAGGCCACGTCCTCTCAAGTTCTTGGTAAAGCATCCCCCAGTGTGGCTTCACATTGGGGCAAACCTGGCAAGTTCTCAGAAATGTCTGTACAGTGAGGTGAGGACCTGGCCTCCCAACCACAGCCTCCCCCTCTGTCTTCCCTCCCCCTCCCCCTTGCAGCAGAGCTGCTCTCCTGGCCCAGACCCACACAGGAATGGCGGGGGAGGCCCCACATGGGAGCCGGAAGTCCACATCCGACATTCAGAACCCTGGAGCGCATGGCTGGTGCCGAGTCAGCTCTGAGGGGATTCAAAGGTCATCATGGTTGCTTCCCTCCCATGCCCTGACCCTTGACAGCCTCAGGAGACAGTGAGTGACCTCCCAGCCAGAGGTCACAGGCTTGGGGAAGACACAGAGTAGCCTCCCAAGAGGCTACAGGTGGCAGGCCACATCCTGCTCTGGATCTCTGCACCCCATCCCAGCTCGTCCAATCCCAGATGGGGTAGCCCCAAGGGAGGTTTGGGGCCCTGACCCAGAGTCAGGAAGTCCAAACACTGCCCCCATTCTCCTCCCCTTGGCAGCCCTGTGACTTCAGGAAGTTCTCAGATTCCCTAGTGTCCCTCCCAACACTGGGCTGTAAGGCAAGGACCTGGCTTCTCAACCACATGATGTGGAAGTGCATGGGGTCAGAGGGTTTCTCGGCTAGGGGAGAGAGGCTAGGAAAGTGAGGAGGGGCTCTGGGTCCCTTTTTGGGCAGGTGAATGAAGGCTGATCTTTCCCAGGAATGGTTGTATGCCTGGGTACCTTTCGAGAAACACCCCTTCTCAGAACCTGGTGCCCTCTAGCTCGCCCATCAGCCCACACACAGCTCCATTCACCTGCTCTGCTCTCTGTCACTCCTTACAAGGTCAAGGGGAAGCCCAAGAAGGGCCACAGAAAGCATCTCTCCCAGAATAAGGGTGCCTCACCTAGGGACAGCATGCTGGGGCCACACAATCCCTAGTACTAGTAATTTGAGGGACAGGAGGGGATTACCTGACCAGACAGTAGATCTAAGAGGACCGCCAAGTCACAGATTCCTTCCACAGCCTCCCTAGTCTGAAGGCCCAACCCTCTTATCATCTGGGCCCAGAAAGGACAGTGACTTACCTGAGGTCACATAGCTGCACCAGGCCTCAGGGTGTCCAGGTGGAACCCTATCCACTTCACCCATGCCTCCTGAGGAGGAGGAGGGCATTTTCCCCCCATGGATTGGGTAGGCCAGGCCTGCATACTGGGGCAGTGGCCTGAGATGTGAGGACAGTCAAGGAGGCCAGCAGGAGACCCCTGCACTCTTGGCCCCACCTACCCCGCCAACCAGAAGACACCAGTAGGGAAGAGCAAGGCCTCTGAGAACCATAATCATGGGGTCCCAGCACCCCCTGGAGGAAGTCCGGGGCAAGACAGGTGCCCTATACACCACCCTTAACTCCATCCGGCCCTGTCCTAGTTGCACACCTACCTCTGTTTCCAGCCCTGTCCTAGTTGCACACCTACCTCTGTTTCCGGGCGAGGGATGAACACTGGGGGGGCCATCTTCAGACTGAGTCCTTGAAAGTCCCACTCGCCAAGGATGTACTGCACAGGCATCCTGCAGAGGGGGCAGCTGGGCGATCAGTGCCAGAGCCTGGACCAACAGGACCATGACTGGGTTGAGAGATACCACTTGTGGGATACCAAAAATGTCAGGTAGGGTTATGCCTCCTGTGCCCCAGGACTCTGCGCCAAGCCAAGGCCTTCCCTCCCTCCCTTCTTCCTTTCTACTTGCGTGATCCCCCTCTCATCAATACCTCATATCAACACCTCCCCAGTCGTTGGATACTTTCCTCCTTCCTGACCATGAATTAGTCAGGCTGGGGGAAAACAGACACCTGTTCCCCACACAGAGCCCTAAGGTCTGGCCCATGGGTGCTCACCTTTGCAATCGGCGGCTACTCAGCTCCTGGATGCATTGTAGCTGCCAAGAGGTCAGGGGCTGGGTCCAAAGTACTGGTCTCAGGCTCTGAAACTGCCCCACAGAGAATGTGAGCAGCTGGCTCCCCAGTCTAGGGGCCTAACCCAGGTTTATGTGGACAATGCCTTGGGCCCAACACTGGCCACCTTGGTCATCCCTGGACCCCTACTGTCTGACACACACTGTAATAGTTCCTTAGATGAATGAATAAGTATCTACCTAAGACAATCCTTCAGAAAATTCCCATCACTCTCAGCACTCTCAGTGGGGCAGAAAAGCCCAGATGTTCTTCCCCAGGGTCCTCCCTCCCCCCTCTTCTGCCCTCTTGACAACTCTGCACTTAACTGTTTTGGCTCCAAGGACATGAGCCACGATGTACTCACTGGATGCCTGGGCCTCAGGGATGCCCCTCTTCTCAAAGACTGCAGTCCAGTGGCTGACCAGTTCTGTGGCATTCAATGACCCAGCCAGAGGCAGATGGGGTTGCCATGAGCTGAAGGCCCAGCCCCTGGTGCCTCCCCTCCTCCCGGGGCCAGACAGGAGGGCCCAGAGCATTCGGCCCCCAAGCTCCATGTCTCCGGGAAAGACTCTCCTGAGTGCTCCCAGGTCCCTAAATCTTCCTTGTGATATCAGCTGCTGAAGATCATCACTGGCTCCAACCAGGTGGAGATGGTCACGGGCTCTGACTCCTCAAGGTGGCTTTGGCCCAGATGTGACTGCCACCCTGGGAGAGGAAGGAGAACCAGAAGAACAGCTGAGCCTTATGTGACGCACTCCCCTCTGACCTGCTGCCTGAGAGAGGGCATGCTCTTGCTCTGCTACCTCCTTAACTCCATTAGACCTTCACCCACCTATTTGATTCTTCTTGTCTTGACCAGTTATGTTTTCTTCACATTTTTAGCTGAAGTGGGCTGAAGCCAGAGCTCAGTCCCTGGCGATGCGTCCGGACCCAGGCTTGAGGGTTGAACAGATCTGTTCCCTCTAGTGTGTGTGACCTTGGGAAAATCATCATTTCTAAGTTCCAGTGTCCTCCTCCATGAAATGGGGGAAATAACACCAACTCCATAGCAAGCAGTACATTAGACAATGAATACCAAGGGCCTGAGAGCCAGCTCAACACATAGAAGGGACTCAGTGTTATATGCTCTTAACTAATATTACAAGACAGAGGAGGCTGCCTTTGCTTGGGGGGCTTTGCTTTTGACATTTTGCTTGTATTGTGACTGATACGTATGCTAAAACTCTCCGTCCCCACCCCCATTTGACCCATAATCCTAAACATCAGCATAAATTGCCAGGTTAAAAAAAAATGGACAATTTTTGTTAACTCTATATTTAAGATGTCACAAACAAGGTTTACCAGGTTTAAAATCAGTGGCTCCCTTTCCCTTAGCACGGACCAAGGTCCAAACTAGCATGTACTGAGCACCTGCTACGTGTCACATCTTCAAAAACAAGCTGGGAGGGAAAGGAGGCTCCAAGAGGGAAAGCGACTTGCCTAAGATCACCTAGCTAGAACTGTCCCAGGCAGGACACACCCCAGGTCCTCCGGACTCCAGAGGCGGCTCTGTCCACTTGAGCGTTGCCCCAGGAAGAGCCGAGACCCGAAGTCAGGGATGCCGCTTCCCTGTCAGCTCTGCAAGGCATCGTTAATGACCCAGGCGAGGTCGCCTCTCCCCGAGCCTGTTTCTTCATCTACATAACGCGAGGTGGGGGGGGGGGGTCTCGAGGGTACTGCAGTCCAGGGGCCCCCGTCCCGGTTCCCATTTCTAGCGCATACCTGCCTGAAGAGTTATCCCGCCCGCCCTCCTGGCGGCAGGAACTGCCGGGGCTCGGCTCCCGGATGTGCATGGCCCGCGGTGCCCTCCCTCGGACGCCCTGCTTCCGGGGTCTGCGCGTCTGAGAAAGGGCTCGGGCGGATCCAGCAACCCCCAGCTCCAGGGTTCCTAGGGCTCCCGGGTTCCAGCGGACTGCTGGGTAGGCTGTGAAAGCCACGCGGGTTACGCCCGCAGCCCCACGGGTGGGAGAGTGCGTGGATGTGTGGGAGGTTGCTCCCTCGGGGCCAGGGCCCTCGATTCTTCCTGAAGGTCACGGAAGGGACATGGCTCCAGCCCGCGAGGACTACGCGGAGCTGGCTTTTGGGTACCCGGCCGCGGGCGGTGTGTTGTCGGTCCGAGCGGGGGCGTGTCGCCAGCCAGCTCCGGGTTTGGAATTGGGGTGCGAGATCCAGGGGCGTGGTCGAGCGTAGCCTCAGGGCAGGCCAAGCAGCACGTGGACGGATTCCAGTGTTGGGGGCGGGTAGCAATTTAGGGGTGGGATCCGGTGTCCAGGACTTGGCCGAGGAAGCGGCCCGAGTCGCGCTGGGGCCAGGTGACTACTGGACCCCGGGGCCGCTCTTGACCCTTTTGTTCCCGGGTTTTAGGGTTTGGAGCAGGGGACTCGAAACCGGACACGGGAGACCTGTGTTCGAATCGTGACTGTTGCCAGCTCACTCTGTGGGCCTCAGTTGCTCCTAATACAAAATTCATGGCAATGTCCCTCAAAGTGTGGCCTGCCGACGCCCTCCCCCACCAGAATCTGTTGTTAACTAGATCACTGTTAACTAATAAACATGCAGTTTCCCCGGACTCGGTCCCAGACCGGGGGAGGGGGGGGCGGGGGCGGGGCGGGTGGGGGAGACTCGGGGATCTGCATTTGTAACAAAAGCTTCTCGGGGTGATCCCCGTAAGTTCCTTTGAGAACCCAAGGATTACAAGGTATCTGAAGGCCCCTCCCCTGAGATGATCGCGCCGTAGATGGAGGCTATTATGAGGTGTATATGTAGCCTTGCTGCCTGTGTCAGACTGCCCAATAATAATACCTCTCCAATAATAATACCAACAGCTCCCAACTTCTCTGGACTGAGCTACCCCATTTCTAGCCCAGGTTGGATGTAGTTCACCAAGAATCCTCTCAGTAGAGCCCATCTGAGCAGGAAGCCGAGCTCCAGGGAAGGGAAACATCTCGCTCTAGGTCACAAAGCAGTAAAGGGGCGAGCCACAGTTAACGCAGGTCCAAGGACTCCCAGTCCAATGCTCTCCGGGAGCCTCCAGCGTCCGCCTCCGTTTGGGGAGCACCAATCTATCTCGGCGGAGGTGGAACTCCGCCCGAGTTCTGGTGCAGGAAGGGCTTGGCCACCCACGGACCTGTACCCGACTTCGGCGTAGACCACGGGTAATGAGGGGTAGTCTCCACGAACCGAGACCCTGTGTCCGGCTCCTGCTGGGGGCGGAGCCAGATCCAGCGACAGGCGAGCGGGCCAGTGCCAGGCAGGCTGTGGGCCTGACAGCCAATCGGGAGCCGGGGGCGAGGAGCCGGCAGGGAGGCGAGGCGCTGGAGCGTGGGGGACCGCGGGGCTACTCGCCTCGGCCCCACCCCCGCGGTGGGTCCAGGCCCTGCCTGTCCCGGCCCCGGCTGGCTGAGCCGGCTCTCGCGGCTGCGGGCGGTGCGCTGTAGCGGGCTCAGCCCGCGGCTCCGGGCGCACTGGGAGGGCGGACCTGGGCTCGGACCCGCTGCCCCCCGCCCTGGCCGTCTGCCGATCGCCACCACCCCTAGCCTCTCCGGCTGAGCTCGGCGCCCCAGAGAGGATTAAGTAAGTGCTGAGGTCGCAGCTTCTGTGCAAGAATGGAGGAATCACCGAGTCGCAGAGGCGGGGATGGGGATTGGAGCAGGGAGGACTGAGGAACCTGGTAGAGAACGGTATGCGGGTTCTCGGAGGTCGCGGTGCTAACCCATCTCAGCCGTTTCCTTCTCTTGCCCTTTGGACCCTCGGGCAGTACCAGACAGTGATGAGCGGGGCCTTTTCTCTGTTTTGGACCGAGGAGTAAACAGAGCCCAGAGCAAGAGTTAAGGGTCTGGCCCAAGGTCATGTCCGGGGTCAGAGGCAGAGCCAAGAAAGAACCTGGAATTGCTGACGCGTTCAGCCTAGCTGGAGAGAGAGAGGGCAGAGAGGGATGAGCCCCCATATCCCTTTGCCAACCTTGCCCCTTCCTGAGGAGCCATCATAAGTGTGTACACACCCCCCGCACACCCATGCACCTGCACAGGACGGCACCCCACATACACCCATGAGCTAGCACAGGGATGTATGTGTGCAGCCATGAGCTGTGTACCCCCCCTCCCTAGGCCCACCCTTCTGCAGCGACCCCTTCCCACCTTGCCCTACCCAGAGCCTCTGGCCTGGGAAGAGGTAAGCCACACCCCGGTCTCCGCACCTCTTACTCTCTGTTCCCAAGAGAGGAGGGGGGGAGAAGAGAAGCACCTCAGAATGGGAGCTCCATGCTCCCTGCTCACCTTGTTTTTCCTTGTCCCTGGCAGCCCCTAGCTCCCCTATGGGGGTCCAGTGACCCTAAAAGCCTGCAGAAAAGCCCTGCCAGGGGACCCGACTTTAGGCTCTCTCCCCTTCCTGTCTTCTGGTCTCTCCGCACCTGTCATCCACTCCTCGGCCCCCATCCCCTGCAAACATAGCCTGGATCACACAGCGGGCTAGGTCAAGGGGCTCCTGTGGCTCCCCCTTTCCCAAGTGTGTTGGCCAAGGGGGGAAAGTCAATATACTGGGTGCTTACTGTGTGTAAGGGTTACGCTGAGCTAAGTCTTTCCTAGGGACCAGTTTATTCTGACATTTCAATGACCTTATAACCCTGTGAGGCTGTGAGGGAGGTGGGGTATTGTTTGTCTGTTTGTTTTTAATCTTGATCTTAGACTCAGAGGAACTGAGACCCAGAGAGGTGGAGTGACATGCCTAGGGTCATCTGACTCTTGGGCAGGTGTTTCCCTCCAGGAAAGGAAAACACTGCCGTGTTTTTTTTTTTCTCCCCAAGCAGGAGGTGAGGGATATGGGGGGCAGGGAGTGAGGGGGTGGGAAATGTGGGGAGTAGGGGGGTGGAAGGGTGGATATTATGTAGGGGAGAAACTTTTTCTTTCAAAGCTCCCCACTACCTTTCATATCTTCCAAGTATGATCACTATGTTATCATACCCTCAAAGAAGGGGCATTTTCACCTTCTTAAATCTACACGGGAACTGTACTTAAGTAAAGCACATCCTAATGACCCCTGAACTTGCCCTTGCCCTCAAACTTTTATTTCCCCAGGACCTTCAGAACTCAGGGGTACTTGATCTCACCACTGAGTCCTGTCCTAAGCCTCATGTTTTTCCTTCTTTCTCTTCCAGCACCCACGGGGCCGGGGAGCTCCCTTTCTCCTCGGAGGTGGCAACCTGGAAGTATAGCAGGGGCCACAGGCTGGGATACTACCCATGTCAGGAGCGAGTTGGCAGGTCGACTGACCACAGGCAGTCTCTCAGCCAGGGCCCTTTCAGCATTGGCATGGACTCCAGGATCCTGCCTGCCAGGGGCTGGCTCAGCAGCCGCCCACCCACCTCTGAGCCCGACCTGGAGCCTGCCACAGAGGGGCCAGCCTCTGAGACCACCACCCTCAGCACAGAAGCCACCAACTTTAATGACACCAGAATCCCTGATGTGACTGGTAGCACAGCTGGTGTGGGCACAATGCTTCTGTCCTTTGGGATCATCACGGTGATTGGCCTGGCTGTGGCCATGGTAAGAGCTGGTAGGCTGGGGCTGATCAGTTGGGGGGGGGGGCACTCTAATCAGAAGACAATTGTCTGTTAATGATAGCACAGTCTTCCCCTTCTCCAGGGATGTGTCCACTGGAGACCAGAGGGGCTGCCTCCAACCGGAAGAACCAGAGAGGGTTCTAAGGATACATGGCATCTTGAGCTGGGCCATGAGGGCCACAGAGGAGTTGGGCAGGAGGGCGTTCCAGGTGGAGGGTCCTGATGGGCGAAAGTTTGGAGGCAGACAGGAGTTTCTGGGCACAGCAGGCAGGACAGTGAGGCAAGTGCGGGGAAGGGTGAGTAGGAGTAGAGGCTAGAAGACGATAGGAATAGATCACAGGCCACAGTGCAGGCAGGCTGCTCCGGGTATGGCAGGCTGCTGGCGGCCTTCGTTCACTTGCCAGGTATTTCCTAAGCCCCTGCCCTGGACCGAGCCTTCAGGTGCCCAGGGACTAAGGAGACTAAGGCCTGCCCGGCGGTTCTTACGGGGAACAGGAGACCGATAAAGCCAATGATGCCAAAGGAAGCCCGGAGGGACTGAGTTGGGGAATTGGGCAGGAGGACTTCCTAGGCTAGGTGGTCAGGGACAAACTGAGGAGGCAACATTAGAGCTGAGACCCCAAAGTGGAGGCCTGGCCCCAGTACCACAAGAAGGGGCAAACTTGGGCAGACCTCTGAACGGAGGTGAGCTGGGGTGAAGACTGAAGGTGTTCCTTGATAGGGGATATGACGTTTCCAGATCTGGTATCTGTCCCTGCAGATATGGGCCCTCCCCCTAATCTGCTACACGGACACTCAAAATGTCACTGAGGGACTGCTGGAGATGGTGCTGGCTCAGACAAGGAAGGGGGGAGGTGCACCTGAGGTCCCCCAGGGGGCCTGACAATGGTGGCATCCTGGCCACTGCCCCTCACAGGCTCTGATGGCCAGCCTTAGGCTCAGGACTGCGTTGTTCTGGCAAATAGAGCTGTGGATGGTCCATCCGTGACCTGGCTGGAGCTGCTGTCCAACCAAGGTCGCCATATGGGCCCTGTAGGCTCCGGATCGCCGCCAGAGAACAAGTGCTGGCCAGCGAGCAGGGCCAGGATGCAGCCCACAGAGCGAGCAGCCTCCTGGGGCAGGGGCGAGGCGGAGCGCCAGTGTTTCCCCATGCCATCCATGTGGCAGCGAAGCAAACCCAAACAGCCTTACCTCAGGGAAAAAGTGGGGTCTGGAACCTGCCTTGCAACTCTAGGCCAGAGATTATGTCCCAGGAACTTGGGAGGACTCCATGATGCTTCATTCTGGAGGAACGTTCAGAGGGCCAGGGTAGAGGGCCTTCTTGCCCAAACCAGAGAGGGGTCAGCCCCTTCTTCCCCCATCTCTCAGTGCTTTGTACACGGATGTCCTGCTCCAGCCCAGAGCACGTGGGTCTTGCATGTTTCCTCAGGCTGCCTAAGCCTTTATCTTCACGTCTGTACAATGGAGGTTAGGACCCAGGGGCCTTCCTACCTTCCTCCAGCATGTGGGTTCTGCCATTTAGTCTGGACTGCTGTCCGGGCACTCGGGCTCTCCTCCCCAGCCCCCGTCCACTGAAGGCTATCAGCCTCCCATGGAAACCCCAGAAGCCCAGCCCAGGATCTTGCCTCGAGCACTGCCCTGCAGAGTCTGGCCACTACCTGTCCCCTGTTCTTTTTTCCCATACAAGGCTCTGGGCCTGGGGGGTGTTGAGAGGAAGGGGGGCGCTGAAATCTTCCCCTCCCCCTTGAAGAGTCCAAGGCAGGTGCTGAGTGGCTGAAGCTGCAGTCTGTATTGGTGGAGACAACGCAGGCCTGCTCCCCACTTCGTAGCCCGGGCACCGTCAGCATCTGATACACATCAAAAGGGGGAACAAATGCAGGATGTGTGTGTCCCTGGGAGGGAATCCCAGAGGTCTTGGGGATCCACAGTTCTCCTGTTCATCGGCCTCAGCTTGTCCCTTGTCCCAAGGAACTGCTGGTTAATCAGGGACTCCTTGCCCAGCCATCTGACACTGCTCCTTCTCTTGCAGGTTTTGTACATTAGGAAGAAGAAAAGGTAACTCCCCAGTTGCCACCCAAAACTGCAGCCTGTTGGCAGTGTTGGGCTGGACTCCAGGGGCCATGGGTGGGAAAAGAGAGTCCCACCACCGTCGGGGCCCCTCTCCGTTGTCAGAGAGCCGGTTCCTCTTCTGCCCACTGAAGGCTGGGGTTGGCGGCTTGCCCTCGGGGAGTGCTGAACCACTTTTGCCCCACTGCCCCAAGCTCCAGGTCACTGACTCCCCGCCCCTGCCCGGCCCCCAGAGGCTGTGGATCACACAAGGGCCTGGCCTAGGCAGTCCCCATGGACCCCACAGATGATGCCTGTGTGGGCCATGGCCCCATCTGGTCCCGGGAGTGGGTAACTATCCATCTGAAGGGGGAGGTGGTATATAAGTACAAAAAATGTCTTTCATTTAATCCCGGGGGAAATCTGAGCCCCCCCCCCCCCCCGGCCCCCAGCATAGCTGTGTGCTAGGACTCAGGTGCTCAGCGAGCAGGGCCTGGAGGGCTTGCGGGAGGGGAAGGGTCTGCTGTGCCCCCAGCAGCCTCTGCCCCCACCCGCAGGCTGGAGAAACTCCGCCACCAGCTCATGCCCATGTACAGCTTCGACCCTACAGAGGAGCAAGATGAGCTGGAGCAGGAGCTGCTGGAACATGGGCGCGACGCCGCCTCCATGCAGGCTGCCGCCTCTGTGCAGGCCGCGCAGGGCAAGGTGGGCACTAACGGGCTCCCCCAGCAGCCTGCTCAGGACTCTACCACCCCCACCCTCCCTCCTTTCTCATGCAGCTTTCCAGCACCCGCCATGTGGTTGGGTGGCAGCTCTCAGGTACATAGGTTTAGAAACTGGTAGAATTTCTCCATGGCCACCCACAAACTGACTGCACAAGGCCAGGGCAGCCCTGGGATCCAGCCGGGCTTTGCCCCTGCTAGCCTCGTGATCTTGGCAGTCCCCTTGGCCTCTCTGAGCCCCTGCTTTCTCATCTGCAAGTGAAAATTCTAATTCTTGCCCTGTGTGCCCCCATGGCTTGGCTAGGAAAGCAGGAGAGGGCTGATGGGAGAGATTGTTGGGGGCTAAGAGCCTGGTGCCTTTGCCCCCCTGAGGGCCCATGTTTCCTGAGCGGGTTGTGGTGGGGGTCAGATTCTGGAAGAGTGGCACCTCTGAGTAGACTAATGGGTCCTAGTAACTGACAGACCCTGGGCGGATGGTGACGCTAGCCAAACTTGCCTCTTACATCCAAAGGGTTGGGTGCCTGTGTGGTCACCGGGCCAGAGCCGCTGGCTGGTTGCCACCAGCCCCCCAAATCCCCAAGGGCCAGAGCACCATGAGGAGACCTGGTCTCTTCCTGACCCATGAAACCCCTTTGCATTTCTCCTTGCCTTGGCCCCACAGGTTGCTGGGGGCATCTGGCCCTCCCAGAGGCAGAATTAGGAGACCGGACTCCGGAAGAGTCCACACTGGGAGAGTGCCACCAGCTCTGTGGCAACTGACCAGGACACATTCCCCACTTGGGGTATTTGGGAAATCAGGCTGAAAACCTTGGTCCACCCAGCCCATGGGACGACTGACAATTTGACAGTTGTTTCCTGGGCGCTTCCCTTGGTCCAGCCCCAGTGCTAGGGCTGGGGGGTGCAGAGGCGAGCCCCCTTCTGCTGGGAGAGAGGAGTGCCTGCATCGTTCATGCAGCCTCTAGGCGCACAGGGTAAGCGCGTGCTGGCAAGCTGGTGATGGCTGGGGGCGGGGAGGAGTCATCAGAGCCAGATGGTAGTTCCAGGCTGAACTTGCAAGGGGGGCAGTCCAAGCAGAAGGCATAGCGGGTGCCAAGCGCAAACAGGCAAACCAGGAAGCAAGGGTGGAAGTGACTGGGCCAGAGAGTACGTGGCCTTGGTCGAGGTCCCTGATGCCCTTGACTGTCTCTCTGCAGACCACGCTCCCCTCTCAGGGCCCACTGCAGAGGCCCAGCCGGCTGGTGTTCACTGACGTAGCCAATGCCATCCATGCGTGAGTGGCCCGAGGACCGGCCTGGACCTCTGATGAAGACATCTGCCATCGTGCCCCTTGAGCTTGATTGTTAAGACCCACTCTCAAGACCTGCCTTGCTGAGGCCCAGCTGTTCCAAGGACCCACCTGCTGACTCTCCAGGCTCTAAGAGAGGGCCCTGGCCAGGCTAGACATCTGGCTACTGAGGTCTCCTGATCTGAGGGCCCTGCTAGAGGGTATCCTTCATATCAGGAAAGTTGAGAGCCACTGCTGGCTTCCTTGTGTCCTGCCCAGACCCGTCACATCACGGTCTGCTCCTCTAATGTGGAGGAAGTGGGGGGAGACATGGGATGGGAGGGGGCAGGGGAGGAGAGTAGGGAGGGGTTCCCCTTTGTCAGGGAGAGACCTGTCTTTGGAATCTGCAGCCTCCTCTGGAGTAGGGAGGGGCAATCAACCAGGTCTTGGGGACAGGATGTGGTGGCACCCTGGGAGAAGCCCAGGGATAGACTAGAACTGCCTGGTGGGCAAGGATGCCAGGAAGAGGGCTGCTCCTACCCAGGGCCCATCTGTATTTTGGAGGGTCCACGAGGCCTCCCAGCCACCCTCCCTGGCAGCCAGCTACTGGCTGGGAAAGGGGAAGGAGGTGGGGGAATAGTGTGGAGGGCCCCAGGCAGGTGCATGACTGTGTTCGCGTGCAGGCATATGTCCCTGTCCCGGCACAGAGTAGGATGGAGACCCTCTGCATGGGCTCCACCCTCCCAAGTCCACCCCACCCCTTGACGTGTGCAGGGGCACCAGGATAGGCCACTCTCTCTGCCTTCAGTGTTCGGGGGCTGAAAGGAGAGGGAAGCCAAGGTGAAGGTCCTGCTGCCCACCACATCTCTTCACTGGGCTCTACAAGCCAGGTAACTGGCTTCTGAAAACAGTTCCCTGTCCTGGTGTATATTGGGGATCTAGGGTTGTAGGAGAGGCTGCCAGTCTAAGGGCAGTGGTCCCAAGCTGTGGGCTATCCAGGGACATTGTGACTTTGCCTGAAACGGGTGTGGGGATGGCCCCTTGGGAAACAGACCTAGCTTTTGATAGCACAACCCACCCACCCATTGTCCACCCACCCAACACCCCTCGGGAAATCTTCCACCAGCCTGGGGCATCTGAACAAGGCATGGGACCAAGCCAGACCCCAAGAGCTGGGCAGCCTTCTCCTCTGGGCGTGCATGCACACACGAGCATGCAGAGAAGCAAGCCCCCCGCCCCCGTGCCCAGCCTCCCCGCTGTCGCTGTCCTCTGCTGGTTGGAAGGGGACATGGGGGCGATAGCACATACCTTCTGTCGGGCAAATACCACGTGTCAGGAGGGGAGGGCCTAGGAGACCCGTGTGGGGAAGATTTGGGATGTATTCCCTCCTCTCGATGCTATAAATACGTTAGCACTTGAACCAACTGGAGGGCTGTGGGTGATTTGGGACGCACAGATGCTGTAATGGAACTTGGCACCTCCATGTGAGAGCATTAAAGATGTAATTAAGATGTTTACACGAAGAGAGTGTGAACCTGTGACACTTGGGGTGTGAAACCTCAGGAGGGACAGGATGGGTTAGGGGCTGTGGGGGGCCTGGGAACAGTCACTTGGATCCCAGCAATGAGCTGGCAGCCCAGCTGGTTTTCCTTGATCTATCTGATGAAATGCCCCGGGCCCTGAGTTCAGGCTGCTCTGGGGCCTCGTGTCTCAACTGTGGAATGGGGTCACAATGCCTGCCATCACCCAGGGTGGAAAAGCCAAGTGGACAGGACCTTGTGGGGCCTGAGGAAGGAGAGGGCTTGAGCCCCAAGGTCCAGGGGGGAGGTGGGGTGCCTCAGGATCCATAGGAGCTGGGTGTGGAAGAAAAGGGAACAAAATAATGTGGTCTTTCCCGGAGCACAAGGGTGCAGGGGATAGGTGGAGGTGGGAAGCACTAAGGTTATTTGTGTGGAAACCACCTACAGGGTGGTTCAGAAGGATTTGAGGTGAACAACTGTCCTGGTTCTCTCAGGGTTGCCCAATTTATAGCACAGGAAATCCCACAAACCAGGACTCTAAGTGACATGCAGATCCTCCCCTAAAGGGCTGAGGCTTCGGGCCAGTATAGGAAACAAAGATGGAGTGAGCATCCCAGTCCCATGGTGGAGGGCTGGGCTGGAAGCGGGGGTTGTGGGACAGGGCCTTCAGTAAAGGCCCACATCGGGGTCAGACTGCTGGGCTGACAGTCTGCTTGGTCTTGCAGAGGGGTCTCCCTCCCCCAGCAGACTAACAGAAGGATTCCTAAAGACCATGGGGTGAGAGGAGAAGGGGTGGGTGGGCTCTATTCCCCCATCCTATTGGGTAACTCCTCAATCTAAGAATGTGGAAGCTACAGAAGACCCAATGTCTGAGGGACCCTAAAAAAATGGGGCCTGCAGAGTAAGGCTAGCGCCTAGGGACTAGGGCCAGGGTGGAGGCTCCAGGAGGACCCCATCCCCATTCTCTCGGGCTGCCTGCCTCATGCCCCTTTCCCACAGGTGGACATGGCTAGGTGGTGGACAGGGCAACCTTCTGTGGGTGACAGGGCCACTGCCTCATCCCTGTCCCCTCACAGATACCTCCTCTTCCCTCCTCCCCACCTTCTGCTTGCTAGCTCTCTTTCCCAGGCCTGGAGGAGAACCGAACTCCCCGCCAGTCCCCAGGTCTTCCACAGATATTGCATCAATAGATATCGGGGTGAAAGGATCCAGTTGACACGTCCTTGTGACCGTGGGCCTGGCAGGCTGACCAGAACGCCCCTCACTGCCCTCAGCCAGGCAGACAGAGTGAGACTGTCACCTGCCCATGCTTACTGCTCCTGAAATTGGCTGCTAACGGAGGCCCTTGGGAAATGCTCCTTCGGGATACACACACATCCATCAGCAAAACCCCTATTCATGAATAGCAACCAGGGCTTCGGGGCAGAAGCTACAGCAGCTTGCAGTGGGTGCTGTCAGGATGGACGTGGATGGGTGCCTTCAGAGGAAGCCATCTTGTTTAATGAAGTGAAGTGTCAACTTCCAGCCAAAGCAGATACAGTAATTCCGTTGCCTGGCGGCAGGCAGACGCCAGGGACACCTGCAGAATGTAAAGGAAAGTTCTCGTGGAGGCGAGCCCAGAAACTCCAGTAGAGCAGTCTGACCTTGTGGTGGATTCCTTCCAGAAACACTACTGAGTCCAGCACTCTGGTCCTGTCAGTGAACCAGCTCCATTGGTTGGTATCTGCATCTCCATTTGAGATGCAAATAGGAGAGAAGGATGAATGTGTGCATGTGTGATGTGTATATATACACGCATTGCATGTCTATGTCTTTATAGCTATGTCTTTATGCAAAAGAAGACAGGGACAAGGTCCAGGTGTGCCTGAGGGGCAGTCAAAGGCCAAGGGCAGGTGACCCCAGCCCATCCTGTCCGGCATCACCCCTCAGCAGTCCTCAGTGTGGAGGGTCTTGGCTGAGGGTATCCGAAGGAATCGCAGGAGCTGCTGGTCTGGCATCCCCATCCTGCTGGCTTCTGCGGGCTCAGGACAGGGGACAGCTGTGGGCAGGGCTATCTCTGGGTGTGCAGGGCCATCTATGGCTCTTGAAAGGCCAGCGATGCTGAGAAATGAACAAGAAGTATGTAAGCAGAAGGTGCAGGGAGAACGGGAAGGGGAGAGCATGGAGACCTTCAGGTGAGGCCGAGAGGGGTGAGGCTGGGATGCCATCTCACCTGCGCCTGGGGCTGCCCTCAGCTCCTCTCTCGCCCCCACCTCAAAGCCCCTTGGCAGTGGTCCCCACCCCCACTTGTCACCCTGGTTGTTTGGATTCTGCACATGGACGCTCAGGGCAGGTGTGTGTTCTCCCTGGGGGAGACCACCTCCACACACCTGCAGGAGCCAGAGGAAGGTCAGCAAGCGTGCAGGGGGAGGGGCAAGGAGTAGGGCTAGTCTCCTCCACACAGTGGAAACCCTGGTATCTAGAGGCTCACTCAGGCCAGGAGAGTGTCTGGGTGAGGAACAGAGGGGTAGATGGGGCTGAGACCTGTCTGGGAAGGGGATTCCTTTTCCCAGCCCCTGGCCGGAGAAATGCAGTCTGGGTCAAAGACTGCCCATCCTGGGCAGGATGTCCCCTCAGCTTTGGATGGTCCCTTTCTTTCTCAGGGTTCCATTTGAGAGGTAACTCTCTGGGTGCCTGGATGGATCCATGAAGGTGGTAGGCCTGGGATTCCTGTGTGGGCTGGGGGTCAGGGGAAGGAGGGAGGCCCAGAGTGGCTCTGGCTGGGGACCAACATGCATCATGTCTAATGCCCAACATGGCTGGGGAAAGTGGGCTGTCTCACTCCCATTTCATCAGTGAGGACCTTGCGACTGAGCCATGAGGAGAAAGCAGCCCAGGACTCCATGTACAGCCGGGGCAGGGCACATCAGGGCCTGGGTTTGAACTTGGTACAGCCTGGGCACAACACTGTCTGCACCCACGGGGTAGGGGGGTGAGGGGGTGGGCAAGGTTCTCCAAGACTCCACCTTCCTGGTCCTTTAGCCTGGCAGGAGGCTGGGCATGTCCCCAGACCTCTTACAAATGGGCATCCCAGGGAAAGTGCCCCAGATTCAGCCCAGCTTTCTTAGGTGAGGGCTAGGACTGGGTCCCTTCTGAGGCTTCGTGGCAGCCTGGATCCTGGTCCCATGTCCATGTACATGTGTGGTATTGCGGGGGAGGACCCATGGCCTTGTCTACCAGTCCTTCTGTTCTCCTGATACATGGTTGCCGGGGGCCAGCATCTCCCCCCTGGGGCCGCCCAGGCCTCACAGGACACTGTCAAGGAGGCCTGGTCTCCCAGTCTCTCACACTAGTCCTGCTCCTGTCTTCCTGATCCATGTGCCCACTTGCCGGGCCTTCCCCAGTGTCTCCTGGGTGAGGCCCAGCCAATCCCCTCAACTTCTATACCCAGCTGCACCCTGGGGTCTGGCCTGGGAGAATGTAGAGATGGACAATGGCAGACGTCCTAGCCGTTGGGGCTGATGGGCCTCCTGTCCTCTAGCTACTGGTTGAACAGGAGAGGAAGGATGCGTTCCCCCTGGCCATTGGCAATCCACCCAGCCCTTAGTACATTTCCTTGGGAGGCCTGGAGGCATGGGTTAGGAGGGGGCAGTCAGCTCTACTTCCTGGGGTGCAGCAAGAGATAAAAGGGCTCAGTATAATAACAATGCCAATAATAATAACAGTAACAATAAATAATAATGACGTGTGATTTATGGAGCTCACGCCACGGGCCCGACACAGTGGATCACTCATGCAGGGAGGGCCAGGTCAGACTTCCCCGTGCCAGCAGGACTGCCATTCAGCTCACAGGTATCCACAGCCCAACAGTGGCCAGAATCTGGTCTTCGTAACAGTTACCCCTGATGGGCACGATCCTACACAATCTCACTTTATTCCCAGTGTCCGTGTGAGGGCCGACTGTCATTCGTCTTACAGAGGAAGAAGTCAGCGCCCAGAGACTGAGGTTATCAGGCTCAGAGCCAGGGTCCTGGCTCTTCTTCTACACCATTCCAGAAAGGAGTTGCAGACAAATCACAGAAACAGGAGGCTGATGGGACCTGACGGGACGCCCTCATGGCACTGCGCACTTGGGTCCCCAATCTGCTTCCTAGCCTCCAAAGCCAGACCGTGCTGCAACCTGCTGCTGGCCACAGGCACTGCAAGGGGCCTTCCTGCCGCCCCACCCCCACCCCCTCAGCCAAGTCATGTGTCTGGTGCTCACCACCACCACCCCCAGTTCTCCTCAGGCCCATCCTTGAATCCCTCACCTGCACTCAGCCTCTGCCCCATCTGGTGTGGACGGCCACCGTCACACTGCAAGCCCCACGTCAGGGGTTCATCTGACAGACCAGGGCTAGGCTGAGGTGAGTGGGGGCCCAGGGTTGCAAATGTAAGCAGCCACTCCCTCGGGGGCTGACATGGGACATGCGCCAACCTGAGTGTCCTTCGATTTGTGCCCCGGGTGCCTCACTCACCTCATGCCAGTCCTGGCCTGGCGGCTGAGGCCCCTCTTGGTCAGAGCCCAGCAGGCAGGCACTGATCCCCACCGCACCCCCACTACCCTGCCTGTAGCCTGGAGGCCCCAGGAGGCCATGCAGCGAGAGTGAGGACCCGTGCCCTGGCCGGAGTTACGGAGATGCTCCTCATGCGGAGAAGGCTGAGAACACCAGATTATGAGAGACTTAAGGGACTTAGCAGCAGCTCGATAACGGGTCAATAAGGTGACACTCAATAAGTGAAGTCTTGGGCAAAGGAGGAGGGCAGGACTCCCGCTGTAAGTCCCTGCGGTTGGGCCCGACCCGGAGTCTGTGTGTGTGTGAACCACCTGGGACACTCACAGGCAGAATCAGAACCCATATAATCCCCCAGCAGCCCCAGAGCCTGGGCCCCATTTGTGCCCTCATATTACAGATGGGGAAACTGAGGCGCAGAACAGTAGGGTTGCTCAGCATGAGGCAGGGCCTGGATTTGACCCCAGATGG